GGGGGGGGAGGACGTGTGAGCTGGCTTTATTGAAAGTAGTAGTGTCGCACTAGATATTTAGGTCAAGTTATACTTCACATGGTGTTCTCTGATCCAAAGAATAGTGCAAATTATATGAACTTGGAATTTCCCCCAAGTATCACTTCTCCTTCATTAGGAGTTCCAATTTTTTTAATCTTAAAAAAAGGTGAGGGGAAGGGCCAGAAATAAGAGTTACTGCACAGTAAAGTAAGGGGTCCTGATGGCATATTGGGTTATGTGTTGACCGCCGACACTGCTCATACTTTGAAAGATGAGACTTTCTGCTCCCATAGAGACTCACAGCCTGGAACCTCACAGGGGCGGTGCCACTCTGTGCTGAGTCAGGAGCGGCAAACTCGTAGTGAATTTGGTACAATAAGTAGAGATCCCAATGTTCTGAAGCCCACAGTGGATCTGTCAGAGTTAAAATTCCTTTATGAAAATGAAAATGTCCCAGATGGCACAACTTCTCCGCTTGTGCACAGAAACTCTTAAAAGTTTGGTAGAGGCTGGGGACACGTGGCTGCCGCAGGGCTCGCTTGGGCATCGGTGGCCGCAGCGGCAGTGGCGACAACGATGATTATGACTACGGCAACTGCGACTAGCCCTCCTTCGTCCCTGGTTGCTCGCCGTCTATCGTCTCCTTTCCTTTCCGGCTGTGTCTCGTCCACTTCCCCTAGCTGCAACCCCAATCCTACGTAAAGGCATGACTTTCCGGTATCGCAGGGAAAACAGGTGCAAGCCCAGAAACTATTTCCCCACCACCACTTGTTGAAAAACTGATCTGGAGGCGTCTCTGTATTTGAAAGTTCCAGGGTTTGATGTGTCTCTGGTTTTGCTTGGAGACCCTTCAGTTATAAGTGTCACGGAGAAAACAACCGGAAACTGATTCGGATCCTTATTCAAAGTCAGGATGGAACGATGTGTAGTGACAGCCCCACCTGCTCGAAACCGTTGTAAGACTGCTTTGTATGGACCCCCTGGGCGGAGGCGCTGAGGTTGGAGGTGGGCTGCATGAAGCCGGAGGACAACGCTTCTGCACTGCGTGCAGTGCTCGCAAGTCTGCCACTAGTGACCACCTCAAGTCCAAGGCTCGGACTAAGAGGAAGGCAGAATTTGAAGACCAGAATGGGAGAAAGAAGCAGAGGCCTCTAACTGCATCGCTTCCGCGCAACAGTACTGCACAAACAGAACGTCAGTGTCATCCAGGCGTTTGTGAAAATGTGCCTGGAAGCCAACATCGCACTCGAGAAGGCTGACCAGCCAGCTGTCCGTGCTGTCCTGCCCGCCCTGGGAAGAGTGGAGGCTCTGTACCTAAGTCAGAGCAGCTGAGAAGAGCGTTTCTGCCTGACGGCTGTGAGCATGTGAACCAACTCCTCAGCTCACGAGGTTGCTGACCAGGAGGTCACCACCCTTGTGATCAGGATAAATAACGTGGACTATTAAAGTTATGTGTTAATTGTGAAAAAAAAAGTGTGGTAGAAAGGGGGTGTTTTGAAAAGGATGATGGCAACATACGTACAAATGTGCTTGACACAATGGATGTAAGTATGGATTGTAATAAAAGCTTTAGGAGCAATAAGATGATTTAAAAAGGAAACGTTTGAATTTTTCTTAGAAAGAAGCTTGGAGACAATCTCATCTGAAAACATTTAACATGAATTATCCATTGACTGACTTATTTATTAACCATTTTTGGGGGGGCTCTTGTAGCTTTATAACAACCCAGCATCCATTGTATTTTTTTTAATCTTCTTTTATATGGAACGCTTCACGAATCTGCGTGTCATCCTTGCGCAGGGGCCATGCCAATCCTCTCTGTATTGTTCCAACTCTAGTATACGTGCTGCCGAAGCAAGCATGAAGTCAGATTTTTCAACACTCCAAATTGCCCTCACGTATATGTGCCCTTTCATTCTCCTTCCACCCTTCTCAAGAGAGATTCTGGCTTTGCAGTATCTAACTTGTAGTCTGTACTGAACAACTGCCCACACCCAAAGGAAGAACCTGCTGCTGTCTGCTGCATCCTAACTCAGAGTGACTGTACAGGGCAGAGAAGGAACCGCCCCTTTGGGCTTCCAAACCGTTACATTTTTACAGGCTGAAGAGTAGGTTTGAGCCACTGCCCCTATGATTGGTACCTCTCTGTGTAACCAGCTAGCCACCATGGGTCCATATACACCTTCCCTTGAAATTCCTTGATATCTTTTTCATTTTCAAATATGTCTTGCCTTTTTATCTTATCCTGTATGTTGTGGGTCTGAATTCTTCTCATATTTAAAACTAGCATGATGCATTAATAAGTTAGTATAACTTAATAGCTAAACATCTAGTGGCACGCCGTAACTAAGAAACTCGAGCTGCCGCAGCCTGTCCAATGCACTTTTCTGAGTCAGCACCCCAGAGAACCCTGGAACGGGCCTCGACAGGAAGACCAGGCGCAAGGACGCCTTGTTGGGCTGTGTCATTGAAGGATGGTCCCTGCTCTGTTGTGCTTCACAAACAGATGGTTACAGAGAGATGTGAACTAATGGTATTTTTTACAAATTGAAGGTTGTGGCTACCCCGTGTCAAGCAAGTCGTAGATATTTTCCCAACAAAATGTGCTCACTTCGTGTCTGTTACATTTTGGTAATTCTCACTGTATTTCAAACTTTTTCGTAATGCTCTTGCACAGTACATAGGTGATAGTGTAAGTATAACTTTTATATACGTTGAGAAATCAAAATATGTGTGCATCTTTATCACGACACTTGCTTTACTGCAGTGGGGAACCGCAGTGTCTCGGGTGTGCGTATACAGAAACACATTCTTGGTGGAGAATGAACGCTCTTCGCCCTCACCAGGGATCTGGAGCCCTGGTGGCACTGTAAATCCCTGTTGGGCTGTTGACTGTGAGGTTGGCAGTTTGAAACCACCAGTTGCGGCTCGGGAGCCAGGCGTTCTCCTCTTGGGAGCCCACGGGCAGTTCTACTGTGAGTGGGCAGGGACTCGACGGCCGTGAGTTTGCTTTGCGTATGGACTTCTGGGTCTGCGATTGTCTTCAAGACGTGCACGCGACATTTTCCTGAGGTGGCGGGGTCCGTTTTTATTAGATTCATAAACGCTTCCGACTAGAAAAAGTGAAGACTTTCTCTGTATGAGGGCAGACCCAAACATTTCTCAAGAATTTAAGTTCTGATTTATCCAAACTCTCAGAAGTGTCTGAGTTTGTATAGATAAAGGCCATATTAGGAAATCAATTATAGTCAGAAAGAAACTGGCTCTACATAGAAATACACAGATAATGCAAATTCTCTTTAATCTTAAAATACCTATAGGAGTGGTGAAGAATGTAGTCACGGGAGAGTAAATTGGAGTTTGCAGAATTTTAACGCTATTTTTCACATGTAATATAACATTTGCTGTGTTTGGTGGGGGGAGTACATTTTTCTGGTGCTTTCTCTCAGTAAAAAAGGCTGCGACTTGATTTCTGTTGGTTTTGTCGGGTGTAGTTTAAAAATAAACGTGGGATTTACAGTTCACACACGCCCAACCCTGGAGGGTGGTGTGCGCTCGCTCTTCACAGTGACGTCCGCCCTGCCTGATGCTGGCAGTGCGGGTAGGCTGGGGGCTGAGGGAAGTCTCTTTTCAAACCATTGAAGCATGGCCAGTGTAATAGGTGTGTCCCAGGGAAACCGTGACCCAGTAAGTTTTGTAGGGAACAAGCCAGCCAGCCACCTTCTGAGATCCTTGAAAATTGGTGTGACCCATTTAGGTGGGTAGAGTGTAGAGCTGGGGAATCGGTGAGCACATTGTGGAGTTGAGGTGTGGGGTGTTCGTGTGTGCTTAATATGGCAGTTGATCTTAGTGTAGAACAGAGTTTATTTTGACTCTTATTCCTGCGCTCAGGTTGGCAGCCCACCCCAGCCCACCTGGCCCCTAGGCAGGGGCTCGGCTTGTCCTGCGGTGGTGGTGGTCCGCCTTGTCGGCCCGCTTGCCTTTGTTCACTCTGCTGGCCCCTGGTCTGTGTTCTGTCTGTTCCTGTGATGTTCCTGCATCCTTACATTCCCGGTTTCCCTTTTCAGACAACTGTGTGTTCGAGGATGCACAACTTGCAGCCATAAGATTCACCATAATTAGCCTTTTTTTGAAATATTAGTAATCCCCCCAACAGGATAATCTCCTGTTCTGAAACAACCGTTTACATAGAAGGCACTGAGAAAACTGTTAAGCGGGAATTTGGAGCATAAACTGAGACTACAAGGGATTCGTTAAATGAGCCTCATTTACTCAGCAGACATTGTAACGCCATTGTGAAGTCAGATTCTGCAGACTGGGAGGAGTTAGGGTGTTGGTCCCGCCTCAGGGACCTGTGTGTGGGCGAGTAGCACACGGGCTGGTCCTAGTCCGCATGGTTGTTGCTCGTCTGAGCCGTGGCTGTGATCTCATTTGACAAGTCCAAAGTACGTGATTCACAGTCCACCGTCCTCATGTCTAAGGAACATTCTGGCCATACTTCTTCCAAGACAGATTTTCGTTTTTTCTGGCAGTCCACGGTATGTTCTGTGTTCTTCTCCAACACCATAATGCAAGTGTGCCTGCTCTCTGTCATGCTTTCTCGTTCATTGGCCAGTCTTCACACGCATCATGATGCAACTGAAAGTACCCTAGCTTGGGTCAGACATACCTGAGTCATACCCAGGTGTGTTAGGCAGGGTTCTCTAGAGAAACAAAACCAGGACACTTATGATTTTATATAGATAGATAAATATATACAGCACGAAGGAATATAACAGCTAATTAGTCCACACAGCAGTACAGAGGGCTCAGTTCAACTCACTTCCGTGGAACAGTTAATATACTGGAAGTGTATTCTTCAACTCATCAGTGCCCCTGTCCAAGGTCAAGGAAGCAGATACCTGAGTCTTTCCCAGGGCAATGCAGGCAGTCTGGCCACAGGCAGCAAGCAGCAGGGTGGGTCACCAACAGTCAGCAGCGCAGGAGTGGAGTGAAGAAGGCTATCGAACTCAAACAATGCAAGCCGATAGGATCAGACAGGCTCAAGCTCAAGCGATGCACACACCAGCAGTGTGGCGAAGCAGGTCTCAAAGGAACCTCAAGCTCTAGCACCATGATCTATGGATTGGCTGTCCCACAGGTAGTGTAGTTCACAAGTTGAGGCAGAGAACTAGTTAAAGCAGCCACACACTGCTCTGATTACTAGAGAGCAAAAGAGAAGGGACAGGGCTTGCCAAGCCATTTATCTCTGTCCTCCAATCAAACTGTGACTTTATTAATCCCAGATATTACTATTGGCCAGGTTAGCACAATAAACCTACCCATCACAGTGTGACAGCTTGCCTCTTTTGAACATTTCTAAACATCTGCATGGTGATTGTAACTACTCCAGTATGGCCTGAGGTGCTGACACTCTCTCTGGGCTAGTAGACGTTCCATCTGTAATACAGAGATGGCTGGTTGGGGCAGGTGCCCCTCACACAGGCGCGTGCACGTGCGTGCGAGTGTTGCTGGGGGTGCTGTGAGACCCTGCAGGGTCCTGGAGAACATGGCACCTCTACTGAGATGTTCACATTTGTTCGGAGTGTTAAGGAAAATACTTACTTGTATGATGAAGCAGATTGCAAATATCACATGCATTTTTAAGACAAAACAGTGCAAGAAGTCCCTGTGTGTGGGCTTAGTCGGACACCTTCGTGCCTCGGGGGGAGTCTTGAGGGGTGCTTTCCCAGGTGTCTGATGCACTGATGACTGAAGGGCTCGCACGGGCCCAGGTGTTCATCATACACTTAGACCTCACTGCCCTCTGGAGTTCTCCTCCTGAGCGGCCATGGTCGACAGACCGCTGGGCCCCTTTGCTTGGTACGCGTTGTGTGTGGGTACGGAAATCTCTGGAAGCTTTGGGCCTACCCAGAAATTTGTTTGTAGTGTGTGAGCTTTCAAAGACACACGTGTAAGTCCGAGTAGACTAGAGAAACAAATTCATAAACACGCGAATGTGTACAAGAGAGAGTTTTAGATAAAGGGTAATTGTACATTAAGAAAGCATCCCAACCCCATAAGTCGGACATTAGCCCATATGTCCGATATCAATCTATAAAGTCCTCTTTAGACTCACGAAACACATGCAATGATGCCGAATGCAGGATGATCACAGGTAGACAGTCTTTGGATCCAGTGGTGTTGTAAGCATCTCAGCGCTGGCAGGGGTCTACATGTGGCTTCTCCAGCACCCATGGCTGCATCGGGGTGGGTCGATGTGGCTTCTCTTCAGGGAAGTCTCGCAGGGAGTAAGCCTTGTCAGTAGAGAGACTCCAAGGGAATGAGCAGCGAGAGAGAAGTGTCTCCCGCCTCCAAGAGGAAAAACAGGAGTTCCCAGAATTCCCAGGAGAAGGCCATGTCCACACAGAGATCTCATTGGTTATCTCCGGATTGACAGACTAGACTCCACCCCTGCACTCTGAATCCTCTCAAGTCCCAAATTGACACCAGGTTATGTAACTACCACGCATGGTCATTCAGCTCTGTGGTCCACCGAGCGCTGCATGCGGGAGGACTCACGTCCCTTCTTTGTGCCTTGCAGTCGGGCGCCATCATGACTGTGCTGGCCGCCGTCTGCACCAAGATCCCAGAAGGGAGGCTCGCCATCATCTTCCTCCCCATGTTCACGTTCACGGCAGGCAATGTGAGTGTTTCCAGAAGCCATGTCCTGGGCACTGGGCTGGGTGGTTGCCCTCACACGAGGGCTGTCTGTGCGGCAGAGTGTGCGCCGCTCACTCCTGTCCTCTCGGTGACTTTCAGGCCCTGAAAGCCATTATTGCCATGGATACAGCTGGCATGATCCTGGGATGGAAGTTTTTTGACCATGCAGCGCATTTGGGAGGAGCTCTCTTCGGAATGTGAGTGTGCATGCTCTTGACTGCCTCAGGCCCCGGCTCCCTCCCTCCCCTGCCCACTGCAGGGCCTCAGCTGGGAGGGCAGCAGGGCGCCTCAGCACTGCTTGGGAGGTGGGGGTGGGGGAGGTGGACTTCCCTTCCTCCAGGTCCAGTTCCACCTTCTGAGATGGGATATGAACCGGCCAGTCATTGTAGTCTGTCCTCACGCTGGAAGCGCATCATCACCTCACTGCTGGCCGCGGCCACACCCAGCCCCATAGAACATGCCACTGCTCTTCTGACCCCACAGAGCACAGGGATGGCTGCAGCGCCCCAGCCCCACCAGCCCAGTTGTCCTTTCCCGTTCTCCCTGCAGCTCCCCTGTCCGGCCCTCACCCGCTCTCTCTGAGTGGTGGTTCAGCCCCATCCCCTGTGCCTTGTGCGTTGGCTGGCTGGCTGGCTGCCCGGTGAGTGGGTGGGTGAGTGAGTGAGTGAGTGAGTGAACAGTGAGTACAGCGGGGCACCAGTTGACCACTGGTGAGCAGACCCTGAGCTAATTCCCCTACGTTCAGTGAGGTGACTACCCTCCTTGCCTAGCCGAGGAGCCGGGGTCAGAAGGGAGCCCCGCTGCTCAGGCAGCTCTTCAGTAGCAGCGCTGGCCCAGAGCCCTGGCTGCCGCTGCACCAGCCTGGCCACAGAGGCTCCATCTGTGCTGCCTAACTAAGCAGAGAGCCCCGTCGTTTGCGGCCGGGCACTCCCAACCCTCCTGCCAAGGGAAGCCAAGCACTGCCTGGACTTCTGGGATCTTTCTAGCACCATTGTTGCCTTCCACACAGACTTGGTTGTTGCTTTGTCTCACGACAATGGGAAACTTACGTTTCAGTGAGAAAAGAAAAAGGACTCTGTTCTAAGTGGAGCAGTTTTGCCCAGTAGGCGGTAGAACTAAATGCCATTATGCCATTTATAATTCTCGGTGACGATTAAAGAATAGCATATGTGAGTTCTAGCTTTAAAAGCAACACATTATAAATAGGAGAAACTGACCTGATATTCCAGTATGCGAAACATCCTAACTTCAGAAAAAGGATTATGTTTTCTGAACGCAAAATATGTCTAGATCTTTCCACATATTCTTTTTAAACAATTTTTATTGGGAGCTCTTACAGATCTCATAACACTCCATAGTTCAATCACATCGAGCAGTGTTGCACAATTACTACCACAATCAGTTCCAAAACATTCTCCTATTGAACTCCTTGATAGCAACTCCCCTTTATTCCCCCTGCCCCACCACCACCACCCAGGAACCCTTGTCTATTTATTGCCACTTCTCACATCTTCCAGTGTATTCATTCTCATAGCGCTGATACGTCATCGGTGCTTTCCACGTATTCTTAACAGGTCTTCTCCTCAGCAGGTTTTCATTCTGAACTCCCACTGGACAGCCTTTTTCTGTCCGACAATAACCAGATCAGTAACTAGGCCTGTATGATCATCAGGTGTCGATGGGATCAGGCTACAGGTATCAAAAGATCCAAAACAAACAACAATATCGATGAGAAAGAAGGGAGACCCAAACCCCATGTGTAGATAATTGGATATCCCCCCACAGAAGTGGTATAAGGAAGGGATGATTCACCCAAGGTGCAGCATAGCACCGATGAATCACACATCATTCCTCTAGTTCCTGAATACTTCTCCCCACACTACCATGACCCAGTTCTACCTTACAAATCTGGCTAGATCGGAGAACGCACTTCGGTACAGATCAGAGCTCTGGACACAGAATTCTGGACAGATTAACCCCGTGAAGAACAGTAGTGGGAGTAGGAGGATGGTCAGGGAAGGGGAAGGGTAAGAAAATAGGAACCCACCACAAGATGGGATACATAGTCCTCCCTACCCCAGAAGGGGAAGAATAACGGAATGTACGTGAAGAGAGACAAAGGACAATATAAGATACAAAATAACAATATATAATTGATCAAGGATACAGAAGGGAGTGGGGGTAGAGGAGCTTATGTCAAGGGCTCCAGCAGAAAATGTATTAGAAGTGATGATGGCAACAAATGTACAAATATGCTTGATACAGTTGATGTATGGAGTGTGATAAGCACTGTAAGAGCCACCAATAAAATGATGGGGAAATAAATAAACAATGACTAGGCTTTCTGCAGCCCAGGGTCAGGAAGGCGGGACCCATCCTCTGCCGTCTCTAACTCTACCGCCTCTTCATTTCTTAGAGCTCGGCCCTGTCCTGGGCCATCTTTGGTAACCTCTTCATTCTAGATGGGAAAACCTCAGTCTCAGTTCTTTTTAGTTCAGTCTCCCTGCTTTGCTGTCGAAGATCCTCTGCTCGAGAAAGTGGTCCTGTGTTGTGCTGATGACTGACAGCTGACATCAGACAGTAGCCCTCGGAATCCTGGGAGCCCAGGGTTCCCTGAGGAGCCCTGATGGCTAATGGTTCGCAATGGGCCCTGACCGCAGGGTTAGCAGAGGAAGCCTTCAGCTGGGCGTTCTGCTTCTGTAGGTTAGGTGGAAACCCCAGGGGCAGTTCTACCCCAAGGTGTTGGGAGGGTGCTTCTGAGTCAGCATCCCCCCAGGGCAGTGAGTCGGTCAAAAGTTAATGCAGCACTCCAGAGGAAGCCATGTGAGTCCGTGAGTGCTTCCCGTCTGCAGGTCGGGGGGTGTCCACAGCTCGAAACCAAGCCTGTGCAGTAGGGTGCCTCAGAGAGTACTCCTTCTCCGTGAATTGTCCCAATTTTCTTTTAGCCAAATGACTACATTTGGATATGTGAATATAATCAGAAACTGTGTACCTATAAGATCACAGTGTTTGGAAGAAATATTAAAGAATTAGAGGACAAAAAAAAAGAAAAAGATCACAGTGTTTGATTAAATATGGAGATTAAAAAGGTTAAACAGGTGGGTGTAAAAAAAGTCTCTTTATTAATGAGACTCTGACAAGTGTTTAATTTCTTTCAAAGGTTTTTCAGTTGTACTTGAATTAGAGGATAATCTTTTTCTCGCATTCTTAATTCACCACAGAATTCGACTTTCAGCCCGAGAGAATCCTGATGCCGCCCTTTAATGTATTTTTGTAAATACATTTTTCTTTCTGTAAATTTACCTGATTTATTCTCTCTGGGCTTTCCCCTAATTTCCAAGAGCTTTCATGGTGCTCTGCTTGGTAGGCAGGGACCCTGGGGGTGTGGTGGGTTATGCACTGGGCAGCTAACTATGGGTCTGTTGTCCGAACCCACCAGCCACTCCCCGGGAGAAGGATGAGGCTGTGCCCTGGAACAGCCTCACAGGCGTTCTGCTCGGTCTGATTGGCTGTGCTGTGGTTGGGATTGGCTTGATGGCAGTGTGCTGGAGTTGGCTTGGTTTGGATTTTCGTCATTTGATTTTAACTCCATTTAGTAAACATAAATGTACATTATAGTACTGATGATAGCAAAACCAAGATTCAGGTATACTTCATAACCCTTAAAGTAAGAAATACTTGCTGAGAACATTTAAATGATAAACACGAAATGGCTGTTCTGATGCCAAAGTTAGAACATTTTTACCCCTGGTGTCTAGGAGATGTGAAGATCAACCAAACCTGGTCGCTGTGTGCGGGAGCGTGAAAACCGTGTGGGGAAGCCAGGGCGGAGCAATGGCTCATAAGGAAAGCTGTCCTTAGCAGCCATCCTTCCGAGCCTGCCCACCCACCCGTCCCCCCAAGGCAGCCTCAGCTGCCTGGCCAGCCGGGCACTGGGTGCTGGGGCCCCAAGGCAGCCAGCCGGGTGGACCTGGCCTGGGTTCTGGTTCTGATGACTGCGTTGTGGAGCGAGCACATGCAGGTGAAGGTGCTAACCCGCTCACGGCCCAGCTCAGCGTCCCGGCTCCTGGTAGGCAGCTCTGAGTGGGGCACTGGGAATTGCCACCACTTGTGTGAAAGGGTGGGGAGACAGGAGGGGAGAGGGCCACCTTCTGGGAGGTGGTGTGTGTGTGTATGTGTGGCTTGTGCTCCTCAGCATGCACAAACCATTCCCACCCTATTCTGGTCTTGTAACATTCTGAAGCGGAACCCTCACACGGCATTAAATAAGTCGGCTGTTGTAGTAGGCAAAGGCCTGTGACAGTGGTGTTCGGCTTGTAGCGTGATAAGGTCATGGGCCCTGTCAGCTGTGCTGGTTTTCTCTTCCAGATGGTACATTACTCACGGTCATGAACTCATCTGGAAGAACAGGGAGCCGCTGGTGAAAATCTGGCATGAAATGAGGACGAACAGCCCCAAAAAAGGAGGAGGGCCCAAGTAAAGCCCGAGCCCCACGAGACTGTGCCGCTGGCGAGTGCTGCGAACGGCCAGGACCGAGCCGGCCCGGAGGCCCCCGCGCCGCTCCTGCCAGCAAGACCCCTAGCACCTCGCGCGCCAGGGTCCGGAGAGGGCCCCAGGACGTGTCCTTGTTAGGTGATTATGACAGCGTTGGTGAAATAAAGGTTTATATCTCTAGTTTGTAACTCGGAGCAGCGTGCCTTCTCTGGGTCTGGGATGTGGGCTCTGCACTCGGGCATGGGACCCGCCTTGGGAGCAGGGCTGGTGAGGGAGTCGAGGCTGGGCAGGCCCTCTCCTCCTGACGCTGAGATAGGAGCGGCAGTGTCTTTCCGTTTCCCCAAGAAAGGTGCTGGTTTCTGGCACTGAGTGGCATCTAAAAACGGACTATTCTTAGGTTGTGCTTTCTAGGTTAGAACTGCCGCTAAATTAAGGGTTAGAAGGAAGTGACTCGGATAAATCCGAACTTGAGTCTGAGCCTAATTGTATCTTCTGCTTCTAATTGAAGCCTCGCACTGAAATAAATGCAGCAGAAGGCGCCAGCTTACGTTGCTCTCGGCGAGTCCACTTGACGTCACGTGGGATTGTGTCTAGGAAAGGCGGTTTGGGAAGGTACCTTTTCCTTCAGAGGATTTACAGGAGCGAGAAGACACGCCCGAGCCCAAAGGTTGGACGGAAGGACGCCTGAGCTGCTGTTGGAGGG